CGGAGAAAGTAGAAGTCCGGGGGTTAGGTTTCTTCGTTTCTTCGTTTTCGAGGGGCGCGTAGGATGGCGGAACGGCGCGCGGGCAAAGTGAACCGAGGAACGAAGGGTGCGAGATAAAGGGACGGGGAAGGAGAGGGTGGAAAGGAAAGAAGGTTGAAGCGGCCGGATGAGCGGAATGGAGCAGAATGGAGCAGAACGGAGAGCCAGCTACGCGAGAGACGCGTAGGTACACGTACACGGTAGCTGCCGTCTATATTTTATATCCGGTACACGAGAAATGTCGCTAGGGCGCAGACTCGAGGCAATCGGGGTCGGTCGGCTCGCCAGTTACTTTTCGCGATCCACCGTGGCCGCTCTGCCGCGGCGCAGGTACACAGGTCGAACGGTCAGTCGTAGTCAGTCGGTCTGGCGACAGATAGGGATAAGGGTGAGCCGCTGCGCAGGGACCGCGGGACGAGGCAGAGTTTACGCGTTGGGTTCGAATGAGGAACGGTAGCAGGTTCGGGGAGTTGGTGACAGAAACACGGAGAGAGAGAGAGGGAGAGACGGGAATACCGTGACCGAGGAGACGGAACCGAGTTCCGGATGAGATTAGGGCCAGCCACGAGGCATTGAGGCAGGACTACCGGGCCGACAGGAACGGGGAGAGCAACTGTCAGCCAGCCGATTCCACCGGGCGCTGCATCTGCCGCACAAAAGCACAGCTTGCGCACTGTTGAGCCGCGTTACCGAGCTACTTGCGCGTACCGCCGAACTCTGCCCGCTCGGTCATCCCTGCCGAGCCAGTCGAGAGCTTTCGCGCGGAGTGTTTACGTCGTCGGCGCGGGTAAATACGCACGCTCCTCCCTGCTACCGGGGCTCCCGGTTCGTTCGTTGGTTCGCCCGTTCGTTCGTAGGTGCGCGATCCTCGGTTCCCTCGATCCTCGCGATCGGATCAGCTGGCGGAGAGCCCCGTCGATCCTTCGAGCGGTCCTCGCCGCGGATACATGTGACGGTCGCCGCGTAGATCGTCGCCAGTGCAACTACTCTCGCCCCCTGTCCCGCGTACTCGTGTTCGTTTCGCGATCGTGCGTCGATTAATCGCTCAGCAGGATACTTCTTCTGGATATACTCTGTTCGTGTCGGTCTTGGAGACTCGCGGGAACTTTCTCGTGATCGTCGCGTGTGTCCCGGACAAACCGAAGGGAAGCGAGTGCGGAGAAGAGAGTTTCTGTGCTGTGTCATGAGAACTGCCAGGTTCCTTCGCCACTGACTGTGCGATTCTTCTCGGAGCCGATACCCGGTGGTCGTTCGAGTCGCGATCGAACCGCGTGCCGCTCGATTACTCCCGTCGACGATCGTCGTCTCGCGGACGTCTCCGCCGAGCAGCCGGGGCGACGCGCCGGAGCGCGCGTAAACGCGGACTGGTTCTTTCCTCGATCTCGGTGAACATTCGTGCGGCAAAGTGACCACCACGAAGTGCAACGACGACAACACCATACAACCTCGTGACGTGATCGTCAGCATCAATGATAAACGGAACCAGAGCATCGAATTGAGGTGAGTGTCGGCCGGTTAACGGGCCTGAAAACGTTGCCGCCGCTGATCGATTTCTTCGCCGCGCCGTTACGAGTGGTCCGCGATCGATCGAACGAACGCCGGATTTCGAAGCTGTGCGTTCCGGTTTGTACGCGCGGGTTTAATTAGAGGGTACGGTGCCGCGCGGCCACATTAATCGCGGGAAATTCGGCAAAATGAAATTATAATCGACTGCCGGCGAACGGGGATCCCGGGGGTTACGTGCCCCGAGAAATAGGCTAACGGTCTGTTTGGCGCCACTGCGTCAACCGGAACGCTATGCGGGACGTTCTTTCGGCAGTCGGTTATCGGCGGAGCCGGACTCGGATAAATATTTTACTTCATTAGGACGGTTGGTAAACACTCTCGGGATACTCGGGACGCGGTTGACCTCACGCGTTGCTATCTTGCTGGCGAAGCTACTGTAACGTCTCCTTATCGATCAATTCTTCGTGCTCCTACGAAGCCTCATATTTAAGTAGCAGATGTTTACGTATTCATAATACACGAAACTCCGCGGAATCGAAGAGAACGTGCATATTAACGAAAGTTTCCAAGACGTCTATTTTATTTTCACGGAATGTTCTGCTCGACGAAAGAAACGATTCCCCCATTCCGTTCGTTACGTAACGTCCATTAAAATTCGCAGCCCGGTTACAGTTACCGCATCGTTAAACAGGGTTTTTTACAAACAAATTGTCCATAAATCTTCGGGGGACAAACACAACGAACGCGAGAAGAATTTTCTCGTTAACTGGCCATAAATATTCGCCGGTCACGGGGACAACTTTTTCGCGCCGATAATTTCGGGGTCCGTACGGTTTACGGTTTCGTTGGTTTCATTTTATGCGTCGCTGTAGCGACGTGACGCACGGCCACGGTTTCTGGCGGGTTTTATAAAACTGGCCGGCCGCGTTGTAGCCGCGGAACATTCGCCGAGGCGTAATCGCCGATTAAATCAGCGACCTATGCGCGTTTCGGCCGTGTGCCCGATTTAATTAACTTTTCGTAGTTTTTGAAACGGGTAAACTCCTCCCCGTCCCTGGCTGGAGCGTGTTACACCGGCGCGGCGGCGGCGGCGCGAGTTTTATCCGCGCATTACCAATGATATAGGTTGAAATGATCCACTTAGGCGACATCGCGGTAACCGCGAGTTATACGAACAACGTGATTCGCTTTTATTAGAGCATAACGCGGCCAATTTCCACGGCATAACTTCATTTCGCGGTATGATAAGTCACGCGCCGCTTTTAATACACGTTAATTTTTGGATCGTAACGCGTGAACCGGCGTTTTCGGCCGAAATAACATCGCGCACGACGCCGGGCCGTCGTTTATTTTAGTTGTACAAAAAAAAAGAGGGAGGGGAGCAGAGAAAAAAGCGAAAGGCGCCGTCCGGTTTGTGCGCCCGCAATTATAATCTAATTTGCGCGCGACGCCGAGTGCTGAAATTAAGAATTAAATAGAAACGAATGGGGTCGGTAATAAATTTAACTCGATATATGAACTCTACGTAACTGAATCGCCGAGAGGAACGTTGAATAGCAAATTGAACGTTTGACCATTTTCCACCACCCCTTTCGTGCATCGAAGCTAACTTTATTCCGCCGCAGGTTGGCCGGCGCGGAGTCGTTCAACTCTCGGCCGAACGTTGTTTATTCGTTCGGGTTCCAAATATTTCTATCATTGCGAGCATCGACGCGAAAAAGAAAGACACGAGGGTAACGTGTTCCAGTATTCGTACGGATCCCGACGTGTTCGCGATTAATCGGACGTGTTCGGACGTGTATCGATAAGGAGGCGGGCGTATGTGTTTCCGATAGATGTTTCATTCCAATTACTTTCGGGCAACGTATTACACAAGTCCGAGGAACGGGGACAGTTTAAGGACACCGGTATCGGCGGAATATTACGTTTCACATTATTGAAACAATTGATTTCCCTGCGACGGAGCCGATCACGTGTTTTTATTAGCGCGAAGTTTAATAAGAATGGGACCGATATCGAATTGCTCTGACAATTGTAACGTAGAATGTTGTTCTTTAATTTATCGACCAGCCCGGAATGAAATGTTCAAATTCCCTCGGATACTTCACGGTCCGCTCGCCGATCTAAAACAGTGCCGTTTGCATTTTCCTCTCAATTATGGAAATATGAAGGAGGAACGATGAGAACTTGGAGTATCCCGAGCATAGTTAATTTCTATTACATTTGTATATTTAATCTTCCCCCGGGGGAATAATTGTGCCAACGGCCCGGAGATTCCAGAACTCCTGATAAAACTGTAAATAACGAGGACTATGAAACCGTGTTCCGCGAGGAGTTCGGAGAGTCTCGCAATTAACGGTGTTCCGTTGGAAAAAGGAAGTTACCGATTCCGCTGGATACCAGCTGCTTCGATTCATCTTTGCTACAACTTCGAACTAAATTCAATTTATTCAAACGCCACCGGTAATTTGATAATTTCGACTAATACTTTCAACATCTCTAGACACTTTCCGCGCGATTTAGCTCGCGAATGAATGAACTGAATTTTCCCCGTTTTCGGGAAATATCGAACTACCGAAGAAATCTCCATACGTGCCTGAATTTCTCCGGGAAGCCCCTAAATATTCAAACTCGTCACGCGATCCGGGAACGTGTTTGGGGGATCGCGCGATGTGCCAAGACAAATGAGTCCGGCAATCATCATCGATTCTCCGCCGGACGATCGATCATACCTTTGCAACAGCACTCCGTTACCGTTTTCTTCCGACGGAACACTCTAACTTCTTAACCCGCGAACGCACGAATGCATCTCCATAAAGCGATCGACCAACGACGACAGAAATCCTTCGTCTCATCGAACAATTACATTTTCGCAGCGAACGCTACGAAACGTCTGAGGGAACGAACATTCCAAGGACTCGGTCGTTTGTTTTTCGAAAGAGAATTGAAATTTCGAAGCTTCACCCACTTTTCAGCGCGTTCCACCGGGCGCCCCGTTTAAGGGTTAAGTGACCCGGCGTCGCGAGAGAGTTTCGTGGCGCCGCGGCTCGATTCCAGCGTCGCCTCACGTGACCATACAAACGTCCGGGGCGCATCTCCGTGTCGTACACGTCGTCCGGCACGCGTGTACGTGCATCCGCCACAAAGTAGAGTCCTATGCAAATATGCTGAAAGCATACCCGGAACGTTCGCGGAGTTTTAACGCGCTACTTAACCGAGTGTTACGTGCGCCGACAGATCGATTTACCTCTACCTAAGGCTCCTCCGCCTTGCCGCGGCTGTTTTCCTCCCCGCCTCGCGCCCTCTCGCCTCCCCCCGGCTCTCTTGTCCATGAAATTTCATTGTTGCAACGTGGTTCATTAGGGAGCCGCGTTAGACTCGAATCGCATGCACGAGCGCGGTTCAGCCTTCGTCATAATGCCCGGCGAAAGAGAATCTGTGATTCCTGTCGGCCGGCGTGCGTGGATCGTGATCCTCTTAGCATCGAAAACGAGTGGCCAACTTTTGCGAATCGAACACAGGGAACGTATCAAAATTCCACGCTCCGAATGCGAGCGGAGCGGTTCGATTTAATCCAAGATGCACGCCCGCTCGAAATTAATTTCACGTTCGAGGCGGACCGACGCGACCGTTGCCGTCAATTAGAAACCAATCGCGACACACCCGGTCACAGGAATATTCCAATATTTTTGCGGAATCGCGGCCCCAGCCTTCGGGGAATTTTCATTATGTAACAGCGACCTATCGTTCCAGACTTTATTTCGCGAACTCATGAAAATTGCAAACGGAGCGCGGAAAATTAAGGGTGGAAACGCGGGGAGGGACCGAGAAGCGTGGCGGATGGGGGTCGACCGTTTATAAATAAACTCGACGAGTGCGGCCCGTTATTGCATACAATGTTGCGGCGCCGGTAAAACAAGAACCGTGAATAATGAACGCAGACGGGACGTCGTAAAATTGATAAGTAAATTCTTGATTCTTTCATCGGGGCTGGCCCCCGCGGCTTGCATACGTATTATCGAGCCGTGTTCTCGGAAGTTTCGCACGGGCGGCCGGATATCGGGGAAAAATTCCGCGGCGAAGGAAACCGATTGCCGGCACGGGTCGCACTGGGTCAAGTATAACTCGAAGCGAGACGCGGGAGGTCGTTACGGCCAGGTGGGGATCCTTTCTCCGCGGAATTAGCGATCTCCGCCGAGGAACCCTCGACTCGGCCGCGTGTCCGTCCGCTGCCCGGTTAAACGTTCCGTTCCCCATTGAAAGGAAATTCCGCCCGCGCCGCTTGTTCCGCGGGAAACGACATGGGGCTTTTCCTTTCAATATTTCAACATTCATCTCGCTACTGTCGCGCTGAAAAAGCCGTCGCTGTTGCCAGAACCGTGGGGATGCGAGGTGGAACCTCTCTCGGACAGACTGTCTCGGATGATTCTCGAGGACGTGTTGGCGATCGATCAAAGCATAGGACACCGGTTCTCTCATTACTTCTGTTACTCGTCCATCGAGACTGTGAATATTTGAACGTTGCGTTTCAAGTCGGAAGATTATTAAAAACGAAGTAACCCTTCCAGGGCTGTCAATGGAACCTTAAGACAACGGATTAAGATTCGTCTGCAGTCGTCCATTATTGAGACCGTTCGTCTTTACTTTAGACGGTTATTGTTACTGGAATCTATATGCGCCGCATCTTTCGATGAGATCGGGAGGAATGTTCGACGAGCCGTTCCCGCAGACGTTTATTACGAATCCATCGTTAATCGCTTCTCCATTTAATATTTGTTCCCTTTGTCGCTCGAGGAAGTCCGAGTACTCCGACGAGGGTAGTTCGCAGCAGCGACAGGGTTGATGCCGGGGATTCGTAGGTGCTCCATCGACGCAGGCGACGCGCGGCACTTCGTTCGACTTCTGGCTGTGTGCATGCAGCCGCGTGTGCACACGGCGCATCTCGCCGGACCATCTCCGCCATTCAATACCCATTAATTTTAATGGATGTTGGC